ACTTTAGGTAGATGTTATAGACTCATAATTACTACATATATTTTAATGATAAATTCAAATAACAATAACCAGCACGTACTCTGGACGGATAAAAAAGAGTAAACTATAATACAAATTAAGACTGGTTTTAATTCAAGTAGTGTTACCAGTTACGAAGTAAATTATTAATGAAAGATATAATTGAATAATTTATGAAGAAAATAATTATAATAATACTTTTGAGACTAGAATCAAATAAGAGAATTATAAATCTTAAATTATCGTAGTTTTTTCTGTGCTGTAGGTTGAAATACATTAGAGGTAAGTAACCTGCCTGCTCTACTTGCCTCGCGTAAACGCGGCTGTAGTACTGTGTATTGATCACTCATGGGTTGATATTTAAATTGTCGTTTCGACAGTACAAATTGGTGATTTTTTCTCACTTGTATTAGAACAATAACACAATATGTCTCATTGTTAATTGAGGAACAAACTATGAATTTATTACTAGGAAAGGTGAACGTACTACCTGTTGTAAATTGTAGTCGTAGGCATCTGGTACAAACTATTCGACCTATTGTTTGGTCCAAAACATAAACAGTCAATACTTGGAAATGTAAAGGAATTATGAGTGAACAGCGTACATGGAGGTCCCGTTAATCCCCTACGTTACTCCGAATGGATTTCATTTGCAATTTCTTAGATTTCCCTTTCACGACAGCCCATTCCAGTTTTTGGGGTGTCGGGTCACTCGGGTCAGTTCACCCGAGTAATTGACCTTCAATTTCAACTTAAATTTTGCTTTTATTTTATGTGGCAATCGCAAAATAGAAATTCTTTAACACACATAAAACTAGGGTACTACTAATGATTAGACTATTTTTCCGAAATCACAAAAGTGGTTTTAATTTATTTCACTTAGTTAGTCGTCGCTTTAGACTTAGGCGTATGAAATATTTTTATACAAGACAATCATAATACTAAACGTGTTGATTAGTTTTAACAAATTAAAAAATATTAAATCAATTAATTTATTTCCTATATTACAGAACACTGTATAGGCCTACAATTATAATATTTGTTGAAACATTAAAACTGGTCTTTATTCAAGTACTGTTACTAGTTGCAAAGTAAATTGATTTATAATAAAAAATACACTGATGATTCTAGAATCAAATAACAAATATTGTATCTGCCAGCTGTTCTTTAACAAAAATATTTTAAATTTCTTGTATTTTCAATTTGAAGCGGAAGTTGGTTGTAAAGTTTAGGACCCAAGTATTGATATAAATGACGAAAAGATTGTGTACCTATTTACTTTGGGTGATTTGATATATTATTTATCTTCAAAGCTTCATGCACTGTAAGGATAATTAGGAATTACACTTTCTCTGTTTACGCTCCGGTTAAAGATCTATCTCAAAACCTTACAAATAAAAATATGTTGGACGAGTAAAATGCATAACTTCTGGTGCAATCGAAAAGAGATAGTTCGTTTAGATTTTTTCACATGTTTTCTACCTCTGCACGTTTTGAAATGATATTGGACAAGTTTTCTTCAAAGCTTATACCGTCTTTGGCAAACGTCACTAGGTACCAATAATGTGACGAAATAATACGTCGTATGAAAACAAATTCTGATCGAATTAGTGAAATGTTCTTCAAGCAAACTTTCACTTACATCTTTACGTTATAAGTAACTTACAATCAGTGGCGATGGACTTTACAAATTCGTTACCAGTGGAGGTTCCTAAAGAAAGTGCTATTGTCTGTTAATGGTAACAGTACAATTAATTGGTACATTAACTAGCTCATGTCACAGACTCAAGGGTAAAAATAATTCATTGTGGCCAAGAAATCCGAATCAGAGTGCACTATTAATCAGCCTCAACAATGTAATATTGGCTATTGCGATTTTTTTCGGCAAAGTAACAATCACTGTTTAATCTAAATAATGCGAACAGATGATTTCGGGGTAAAATTATCAAACTTATATATCCAGCCAGAAAAAAGTTATTTTTGAAAAAAACATCGAACCGTAGGCCTAAAGTTTAGACATTTTTAGGCCCTACAAACATTAGTAACAATGAATTAAGTTGTTTGACGTTGTGACATGTTCCTATTTAGACATTGTGGCGGACAATGTTTAGCAATTCAACAAACGTGTTGTACATGGTGAAAAACACCAATGATGATTCGAAAACTAAAAGAAAGTAATACAAATTGAGTTTAAATTAGGGGGTTGATTCGAGTTGGAATACCCTTAAAATTATATGGAATATGATATATGCTACCATATAAAGTGTTGGCTGTGTAAATATTTAAAATTTTCCCTTTTGTGATTTGATTTTATCACTGTTGGCATAACAAAAGTAAAGTTTACCTCCTAAGAAATATGAATTGAATTGAGAATGGTCCATTTTGTATTTTTGTAAAAAGATATATATGTGTCCAAATAGTACACAATTTTCCTCATAAAAACACCATTTTGACACAAATACAATAAACATAGTCAAATTCGACTCTTGCCGTCGTGTCTGAAAAACTACAAAGTAACTTATATTGTTAATTAGGATAAAATAGGCGCTGCACGGGTATAGTTTGTTTATGCTAGTCAATATGATATTTATGAAATATCAAGTTACTACTTTTGGTTGTTAAAATATCAAACAAATTTTGGTTGAAAATGCTTGCTACAGAGTCCGCGATTTTTCCACTGTCATGTAGTCAGTGATTTCTGTCTTGTTAGATTACTAGAAGGTCACATTGTTTTAGTTAGTAGAGTTTTTTTATATTTTATCTTTTGTACATTTCATTATAAACTTGACTATTCCAATGCAATGTAATTTTGTAATTCTGGAATAAAGAACTTATGACTTATGACTTATGACTACTTGCTTTTTTGTAATCTATTTATAATTGTATTGTTATGGTACAGGTATTGGTATGAAAAGCGCGTACAAGGGCGCATGGAAAGGGTGGGGGGGGGGTCACGTAACCGAACTAGCCAAAACTCTGAGAATATATCTATGATTCATCCCCCTCCTACCCCTTCCTCTAAAAATTGTTTTCCTTAAGGTTATCCCATTGCCATTTAATATACTTTCAATGTATATTAAAAGTATACTTTCAATGGATAAGATAGGATTTGTATCATAAAGAAGATATGGTTTCTGCCCGTTTAAATTACCTATAAAACTAAGATGTAAAATTCAGGTTTGTTTTCTATCAATGATGGGTAAATGTTGAAAGCAGTTAATTGTATTCAAATGGATATATATTATAAAAAATGTGTGTTTAATAACCAGGGGGCCCATTGCAAACTTGCACATTTTAATAGGGTTCAACACATTTTCGAAGGTAAAACATGTAATCTTTGGTAAAACTAACGATGCAATACCCCTTTATTTTTAAATATTATGTTTGTTTAAAGCAGTCATTAAAAGTGAATACACCTACTAATTTTCAATCAATTCCATTGATTTATTTTAGATCCACACCATGAAGACTAAAGTCACCTACCTTATTTTTATTAACTGCTTTATAAACAAAATCTAAATGTGGTTCAATATTCAACTGAAGGATCAGGTTTTATATTGCAATTTAAATTCGAAAGTGGCCTGGTAATTTGTTGATACAACATTAGTTTGGTAATAAGTTGCACTGTAAAAATATTCTGGAATCAATGGCGTAGTCAGTGAGGCGTGACTAATGGGATTTACTCACAGGGTCGACCTAAGCATTGTCTTGTTCAACCCTCGTAAGTAGGGGATTAGTTTCTTGCCCGGGTAGGACCAAGGAGCGCGAGCACCTCTGCGCTCCTTGGTCCTACCCCCGACGAATTCTTCAGCCAAGGGGTTGACAGTTTTACGACTTGCGCTCCTCTGTCCGTTTCCCAGGAAATGGTGAAGGAAGTAGTAAAGGCTGGCATCGCAGAGTGGGGGAATGATTTTCCCCGAGCAAAGCTCGGTTCCCAGGTACTTTATAACTAATCTAACAAAAAAAGAATTATTGTTCTATGAGAAGAAGAAACAAGAGATAGAGCTTGTTAATCAAAAGATTGCGCTTGACCAAAAAATGGCCCTGGCGGTTTTGGCATGCAACTACTTAAAAACTGTTGCGGCGAAAGGGTTAGGCCGAACTCCTGCCAGTCTCGTAAAAACTCTAGTCATTCCTGTTGTGTCTTGTTAACTTGTTTTATTTTTAAATGTGTGTGAAACATGACGACCTTCGGAAGTGATCTTAGGTACTTTCGTATTATACGGAGGCCACTTATTTTACAGCGTACTGGGCAGTCAGGTTACGTTTGGTTATCATAAATATGTTTGTAGGACTTACCTCGTTTCGTTATGAATCAAACAATATCAGATGAGAGTCATAAAAAAGCTTTTGATATCCCAACCTAACCTAACCTTAAATGAAATGAAATGAAATGAAAATGATTTATTTAGTCAGGCAAAGTTAGGGCCACATGGCCCTCTCTTACACTTAACCTGTTTATACAAATCTAAACATACAAATAAAACAACCTTAGTGCGCTGTAAAAGGGTGGCCTCCATATAATACGAAAGTACCCGATCTTGTCCTAGTAAAGCCTGACGATGCGTCACTAGTTGCCATAGCAACCTATTGAATTACCAACAATATAGGTATTTTAAACCACCTATAAGAAATCTTGGTAATCCGGAAGATATCCATCTTGAAACATGAGAGCATTGTTTATTACTAAAAACTTACCAGAAACCATGCTTTAATTTTTACAGCTTAATCACTTTACTAAAACAATGTCACCCTTTGTACAATGTTTAATTAAAATCTGAACATTTAAAAGTGAGTGCAGAACCAAGCTGCCATGTTTGGCCTTGTTGCCTAACACAAGCTGTTTCTTAAGCCACATCAAGACAGACAGGACTAGTTCTAAATATTTAAAAGAAGTTACTAGATTTTCTCAAATTATCAGGCTTGTTCAAACTGTAGGCTACTTAGTTCAATGATCTCCGAACTATTACTGAATGTTTCAGAGTTTGAAAATGCAGAAACGCTTCTGATCTCGGAAGTTCACATGCTGCTGGAACATCGGAAAGCTCAGAATGAGAGTGCTGAAGAGGAGCAAGAGTTTTCCGATGTGTTCATGAAAACACTGACCTATACGGATAGATTCCGCAAGTTCAAGAATAAAGAGATCATTGCCTCTGTTCGGAAGTAAGTTCTGGTTTCTAGTTGCAAATCTACTTTGTGTTAACACGTTAAGTGCTGTTGCGTGATGGCCGGCCGCAGCCGGTGGCTAATGCCCTGCGTGGTTGAGTGCGTGAAAACGTTAAATTTAGTTTAATACAAATGAGCTATTTTAGCATTGTAGGCCTACTGTATTCCATTTGTTCTGGACATAGTTTTAAAAAACCCAATTGATAGCAGCATTAAACAAAACTGCGAATAGGCCCTCAGTTCTGCCAAACGGAGAGAAAAAGCAGGGAAGAAAAATCCAGACACACCATGAAAAAATACCACAAAAAAGCCGTCAAACATAATTAATTTTTAGGTTAGATTCCTTCCACAATGCTACACTTCAGTACCTAATTATCATTACAAGAGCACGCCCCGTGGTCGAAAAATCGACCAAAAGTACCTATGTTTTGTGCAAACTTCTCTATTTTCACCCCACACTGCTAAATAAAACATGTGATTGGAATGTCTTCCATTTGTTTTGATTTTCTGTTTATATTTTGCTGTTATTTCGTCATCACCATAGCAACCCATAAAACCCATGTTAATTTTTTAAAATTTCAAATTCATTTTTTGTGCTTATTTTTGTGCCTATTTAGTTTATAAAGGGATTCTGCACACCTACAGGAAAATAGCTTTCTAACTGTATGCGTAGATTTTCTGTACGATACACACGAGCTGAGAAAAAAAGTTTTAAAGAAACATGCTTGCCTATTAATATATAGATAGATTCTATTCAATCTCACAAATATCCAAGACAAAAACCCACAATACACTAAATTTGGAACAGTCCAAAACACCGATGAAATTGTTGGAGCTGAAAAAAAATTATACCAGATTAAAGTATAAAACTGGCACAATAAGCGGCAGGCAAAACAACGTTTTCCGTGCTAGGCTGAGCTCACACTGTATCAATACTTTGGAGTTAGGAATGCTACATAGTTTAACGTAGTCCGCCGCACGCTCCTTTCCTGCCTAGGCTACGTTAAATATAACGTAGGCCGCACTCAACTAGATAACTAAAGCTAATAGGCTAAAGAGCTGTGTTCTAAGTAAGCAGGCTTGGAACAACCATCATTAATCCTCGAGACCAAACTAATATCATGTACTCTACACTTATAAATAGTGCGAGGGGCCGTTAGCTTGTTGATTTGATATCTACAACCATTTCAAAACCAATCATCTGGTATTGCTGCAATTCTGGTGTAATTAGCTTTGGGATTCATTCATTACTTTTATAATCAGGCCAACCTAATTTAAAATAATTTATCCTATGTTGAGAATCTATTTTCAAAATGTATTTGGAACGTTTTGAGGTGCAAAGATTGAAATAAAAACACCATTTGTGGAATTAAATAAAACCCGACTGACAACATGTTTACGGTTTGTGTGAATCTTGAGGACTGGGGAGCAAAGAAACTTTTGGATCGGTGGTTAAACAAGGAGGGAAAAGTAGCGTGATGGGTTGTAGCCAATCCGGGAGCTTAATTGAAATCATACGATATGACGTCACAGTCGCCTGATCGCAGTCAGGACACAAATGTAAAACATATTGCCAACTCTTTATAACACAAATCTAAATATCGTAAAAACAACAATATGGTAAATTATTGTATACACTAATTCATGGTAATATCATTTTAAAATAACCTAAAAGTTATAATTCTGAGCAATGTACAGACAAAACTCTAATTTTATTTATATAGATACACAGGTGATTCTAATGTTTATTTTGATATTTAGTTTGTTTAGTAACCGTAATGTACTCATGCTCATTGTAGTCATGTAATAATACTTTGAAAGCTGAGGATAAAAACAACTTAGAATGACGCTGTGTGTGTAGCGCGGTGCAAAAAAAGATTTTTTACATACAAATAAATATAAATATGACTTTTTTACTACACTTTTTCATGTAAAGATCCATTTTCTAAAAGTTTATATCTTGGATTTCTTATAAAAACATCTTTTGTATTTAGCCCCTAGAATAATTTTTAAACTTTTTTGCTATCTGTCAATGATTTAAATTTGTTCCTTGTGATGTCTTGAAAAGAAAATATAGAATAGTATTTACTTTTGTATTTCAGAACACAATTTATACAGCTCCTACGTACATATTTACATGTTTATGATTAACCTACGTACATACGGTAAAAAAGGCCTGCCAGTACAGAATTTTTAGCTGCCAGATGCAAGGTTAACAGTACTGATCCAAGTTTAAGCAGCACAACAAGGGTGAGAAGCCAAGACGCCGCTGTCTTGGTTTTACCGTCCGTCACTCAAACAACTGTCAACTCAAATCTGCAAAAATTTATTCTATTTTGGAAGTGATTTGTGGTTTTACATTCTATTTTTTTTTTCAGTTTACTAACTCAGAAGAAGCTTCACAAGTTTGAGCTGGCCTCCATCGCAAACCTTTGTCCCGAAACTCCAGAGGAAGGCAAAGCTCTCATTCCCAGGTTTGTCTAATATAAAATTCATGTTTTAAGTTGAGTAAATAATAACACTTTATGATCAATAGACAATCACTTTACCTCAGAATACATTCAGGAAAAATAAAGGGATGGAAACTAACTCACCCTTGACAAAGAGTTCAAAGTTGATAGCTCTAGAAAAGTTGACCCTACATCAGGGGCGGCTCCAGCAGGCCAGGTAGGCCCAGACAAGGCAACAATAAATAAACAGGCCGTAATGCTCCTCTGGCATGACGTCATCGTAGGCGATGGCAATGGCGTAATTTTTGTCGTTTGCGATCAGCTGCTTGTTTTAATCTTTTCTTGGAAAACAAAAATATAACTAAAAGAATAACATTACGTCATTGCCGTGGCCTATGATGACGTCATGTCTGAGGAGCATTACGGCCTGTTTATTTAGTGTTGCCTTGGCCCAGGCCTAACCAAAATTTTGGTGGTTTGTTTGTTTGTTTGAAGTTCAATCACGCATTAACTACTGGACGGATTCGGCTGAAATTTGGCATGATGATAGCCTCACATTCCTGATTAACATATAGGCATATTATTATCTCAAAAATCCTTTCGGGCTCTGCCCCAGTAGCTCTGTAGTTCCCCATGTTAACCTTATGAGTATTCATATTTAAAGAATTTAGTCAGCTGTTTCAACTAAAAAAGTTGGTTCTATGATATGCAAAAGCATTAAAAGTTATAAGATTTATCAACAGGGTGCAGCACTATTATTTTTTTATTTATGAAAACAGTTTAGAATTTGAACCAAGCAGCAACAAAAAACCGTGATACGCAATGTTAACTGTCAAAGTTGAATTGTTTAAACTTATGTTTATGTTTTTAATTTCATGAATAATTTGTGATATTTGCTAATCTTTAATAATTTATTCTTCTCTAATTGTTTAGCTGAAGTGGTAGAACATTATGGCTATGGTAGATGTGTGATACTATAGTATACCGTAAATTTAAATAAGGAAATTTTATCAAACTGTATCCTCCCCCATTGTAAACGCAAAGCTTGGGTATACATGCAATAAGAATGTTATACGTATATGACAATCCCGTACGAAGGACGGGTACTCTGCTAGTATTTAAATAAAGGGAAAGCATTCAAACTAATTATTGTGCATTTAAATTTTAAAATTCCTCCGTTTTTGCGGGAAAGCTCTTCTAACCTCTTGTCCCTCAGTGTGATAGCTCAAGAACTTTGACTATGACTAGTCTGGGAATATTTCAATTTCGGATAGCCTAGTTCCCGCAGTGGCTGCTAGGTAGACTATCGCGAGCGTACAGCCAAGTCAGCTGAATGAGTGAGTGAGAGTGAGTCTAAGGATCGGATTTAAGAGAGAGAAATAGAGTAGCGCAGAGATCGTAGCGGCGGCTGCACGAAGCTCATTTCGGCGGCAAAATTCCAATCTGACTATTCTCCATAAGCAATTCGCTTCTTAAAGGGTTTTGTATTCATTAGTGTAACCTAACCGAGCCTGATTGAATGCAAATTCATAGAAATGGTTTGATTATTTATTTATATTGTTTTGCATTAAAGAAATGTAGCCAAATTTCCACCAAATTAAATAGATGTTATAAACAGCTGTTGGGTTAGTGCAGAGATGTCATCTGATGATGAGTTGTTGTTAACAGCTGCATTAGTTGTTGTTATTGCAGTAGAACGGCCAAAGTTACCCCGGAGGTTTTGGATTCACCCCAGTTTAAAAAGCAGTAATAGGTATAATGATAGTGACCGACTTAATGATTTAATACTGGATGATTCAGACATATTTAACATAAAAAATACAGAGTTAATGCTGGGTTTAGAAATGATTTTTGGATGACATCGAAAGATTTTGAAACTTTGCTTGGAAAGATTGGCCCAAAAATAGGTCAAGGGGCGTGGTGGATGTCAGTGTCTGCTGCCTGGTACATCCCCACACCAGCATGCCACTTGGCTTCTTCTGACGCGGACTGACAACCCGTCGGTTTAGAAGCGGTATTGCTGATCTGCATGCTTACAAACTTGCCGCTTGGTAATGCCTGCCTATTTTCATTCGGCATAGTAGGGATGCAGCTTTTGAGATTCTCTACCCAGGTAAAGCTCAACCCTCCATAGAACAAAGATTTCCTCCAGGCACATTTATTTTTTTTAAACATGTGTATCGCCGGCCAGTCGTTTCACTTTTAACACTGTAACTCACGTGTCTCTTTCTTGGAAACGGTAGAACATCATTTTGCTCTTTCCCCCTTCCCAAATGGTCCTTTCGGTGACAGATTAATGGGACTACTGTATAATGTTTTGACAACAACAAAAAAACACTCATTGTGACACCAATCTTGTTAAAAAAATAGACTTTCATTGAAGGGTTATATAGTTTTTTTTATTTAACGGCAGAGTGTGCTGCTGCTCAAATAAAGTTTATTTTCTTACACAGCAACTTTTAAATCAAACGAAAAGAACTCATTGTAAACTATAGCATCTCTAAGGAATCATAAACCTTAGCAATATATCAAACAAAAAGAAAAATATATGTCTTTAATAGTTACTAAATCATTGAGATCCTATTAATTAAGTTGTTATATTTGAGTAAAACCTTTGAATATTAATACAACTAGTCAAGGCCACTTTAGTAAATGGCCCAGGGGAAAATAAATTTTGTTGAAGAGAGAGAGCCACCTAAAGGTTGCGCTGGTGTAAATTACAGATCTCTGGTTATTAACACGTTCGCTGCGGCACGTCAAATAGCGGGCGTATCCCCAGTGCGGCGCAGCCCTCAGCGTCGAGTAAACCCGATTGCCGCGAGTGATTGGCCTTTTCAATTTTGGTCTGACGAATAGCAAATAACGTGAGGAGATGTCCTGCTTTACAACGAGAGTCGATGTAGTTCGCTAAACACTCACAGATAGCAGCACTGCTTGGAACGTAGCCGGTCCCATTGGAATCGTATTGCCAAATGGAGGGAAAATGACGGGACAAAAGGAAGACTTTTGAGATTGCCAGACGGGGATTTTACGGGGAAATTTACTACCAACCTACACCACAACAAAATGAAAGTCACATACTACACGCTAACGTCGTATAGGTCCGCTTTCGGCCGACGCTAGAGCAAAAACGAAGATATACAAAAAGCATTACCGAGCGTTCCCGATGGGGTACGGACGCACCGTACGGGGGCCAAGCGCCGTACCCGATCGGGAACGGCCGCACTCTACGTGTTAAGTGAACTTAATCAAGCTAAACGGAAAGAATGGCTCATTGTAAGCTATAGCCTGTTGTGACCTATCAACTATATCTCGGTAATAAATAATAGGTTAAAGAATTTAATACACTAGCACATTCTGTGTCTGGCTCACTCAAATATGTTATCTTTTAATAAAAAATAGGTGACAGCTGGTCCATATAGATGGGATGTCTCAGTATCCAAAGTCAATTGTAAAACACAATACACAAATGCCGTGCAATTGTCTTTTCATCAACTATAGATGGCCCATTTTGATGTTGGTTATGCTTCAATCAGTGGCGGTGATAGTGGGCCCGCGAGCTAGGGGGGGGGGGAAATTTTGCCGGGACACTAGCCCGAGATTGTGGGACAGGCTCAGCCACACGGGCCCCCTATCATAAAAATATTCATTTTATGAGAATTACCATACGTTTTTATGACTAAATTTTTTTAACCAGTTAGAGTACTCTAGGTCTAGGAAAAGTAGTTTACAACAGCTAAACTGACATTATTACTTGACCGATCGATATAAATTCTCTAATAACCTAAGTAAAAGAATTGTTATCAGTCATGCAGGTTGCATCAACTTTCCACGTGGAGTGTGTGAAGGCGCTATAATAGGTCCGTATTTAGATCCAACGTGGCCCCCGGCCTAGGAGGATAAAACATTAATGTGTGTTTAAAAATCCTTCTAGCCCCGGCGGGTCACACGAGAGAGGGCCCTCCATGCATATTCAACTAATTGAACTTCACAATTTTTTACGATCAAATCGGCAATTAACTTAGATGGCTAGGGCCCTAGATTATAAATAATTCCATTCTTCATTGATGCTTAATCACGATTATAATTTAATTTCATTTCTTACTATTAGGAGGCTGCACTTTAGATTTTTTAATTTGAGTCAGTTAAAAAATGTTACTTACCTATGGACCACAGGCCAAATCAGATCGGTTTAAAATCGGTTTACTTTGGAAACGGTTGTGTTATATAATATAATGTAAATTTCCGAGCCGAGCAAAGCCTGGCCTACAAGCTTGAACCGATTTTCTCAGTACACAATAATAATGCCCAATTAAAAGTAAAAGCTTTTATGTCCGCGAGGATCACGCTCACGTAAGCCTAATTGAAAGATTGGGCCTACGCTTTTGCCGTGATCGTGGATGTCGACGAGAACATTTCCCCGCGGGTGACGATGACGACGGATCCGCTGCCGCAGGTGTTCAATATTTTACCGCAATTGTGGAAGGCGATTTTGACGTCGCTTTTTCAGCGTGAGACTAGGGTTTTGCCGCGATTGCAGATAAAATTATTTCCCGTCACCACGGGGCGCGGAGATATTAGAGATTGGGCCGTGAACAAGGGAGACGATAATGTTCTTATCTCTGATGATGTCATAGGTTTAGTTGCAATCACGTTAGACTATGACAATGTTTCTTTCATGCCTACGGGAAGTATTGACGATTTTGCCGTGATCATGGAAGACGATGATGACGCCTCGGGGCCTCGGGAAATGCCGTGTTAAGCTAAAGTGCAAATTAAGGCGGTATCACACGTGATAATGTTTTTAAAGATTATTGGGAGAGGGGGGGCCCGGCGAACAAACTTGGGGGCTGGGCCCGCAGGTTCTTATCGCTGCCACTGGCTTCAATATTTCCCAACCAAATGCTAATATTCAGGAATACTAGAATAGAAACGGTATGGACTATAAACATAGACAAATTATGTTACTGGCCAAATTAAACTGTAAAAAAACGTCCAAACCAGATGTTAGGGTTATTAGTGTGTCAGGAAATATAGGCCTATTTAAACCAATATTTCTAACCTATGGTTGTTTTCAGTTTGGAAGGCCGGTTTGAGGATGAAGAACTAAGACAGATCCTGGATGATATACAAACAAAAAGAAGTTTGCAGTATTAATTATATTTTGTGTGTCAAGGTTTCAAGAGTGACTTGGTGGTAATGTAGATTTCATAAGTTTTTATTATTTTTAAATAAAGTGTATCAAATTTTAATATTTGTTCCTATTTATTACCTTCCTGATTTAAAAAAAAGTCGAATCTAAGACGAATTTCAAGAGGTAGGGGAAAATTCATATTATTGAGGTATTTAAAGAGGTTCTTTTAATCGGTATTTGGACTGCCGTTATTCATCTTATAGAGGTTTCTACTCTGCACAGGCACTTGCCAAAAAATGAATAAGGAAGGAAGAGGGATAGGTGGGGTTTCATGTTGAGACAAGCTCCTGTTTGTTTTAAAAACTACGTACTCAGGTGGTTAAGATCATGAGAAATTTGTCTTATAGAGGTCGCATTCCTCTTGTCGCGGTTTTGTGCTAAGAATATTCATTGTATTGAGGTTAATCAGTCCTAGTCCTAGCCCATGTCACAAACAAATTTGTCTCATGGAGGTTTTTAACCTTATTATAGAGGTTTTAACATTGTATAGAGGTGTTTTTAGCATTAACCTTTATGAAAGTTTTAAGGGGATCAAAAAAAAATTGTCTTGAGGAATTTGTTTTACCGAGGTTCAACTGTAGGCCTAAATCACACAAATTGTAGAAAAAGTAGGATAGGAGCTAGCTTACCTTGAAAGTGTAGGTAGACCATAGAACATGTAGAAAATACACTGTGCACAAAATATTTCGTCCCCTGAGGGACTTTGTCAAGTGTAGAGAGTTTACAAATTACAAAAATGTGTAAATCAATTACAAATTACAAAAATGTACCAAATCATTGACAACTAGTCACACGATTGTAACTCGTCAAAAACCGATAAAAGTTATAACAGGCTCAAGCTGCAACATGAGAGTGCGCTGGTCTAAGGTAAAGTGCAGGACGTTGGTCCCGGGTATCAAATCCTACCATTTACCAATGGATTTTTTAAAATTGATAATTCCAATTCCGCAACCCTCTAGGTCTATCCTGAAGTATAATGTTACAGCCCCGGGTTAGAACCTATGCCTTGGATATGAAGGTGGAATTTAAGCAAAAATACCTATTCTATACATGGGATATTGACTGCCGTAGAAATATAACTGGAGGTATTACTGAAATGGCAACTCTAGAAAATCAAGACACGGTAATTTTGTTATGCAGGCACCAATTAATTAGGAATCAGCTCATCGGCTCATGGCTCTATGCATGCGCAATCCCACAATCCCCTAGTTCGGTATACCATGTACAAATACAAATGGCGGCCAATGTCTCACAATCCTATTCAGTGCTACCTTCAGCTGTATCCTTAGCTCAGTGGGGAGATTTGTTAAAACTTAGAACTACTATACTATCAAGTTAGACACAGGGGAGGCTCCAGGAATAATATTTTGGGTAGGCCTGACAAGGATTGAGAAGGAGTTTGATTGAGGAATTTGGGGGTTTTGTAAAATATTGGGTTAAATCCTTTTTGAGGACATCTCTATTCACAAGGTAATCAAGTAAATAAGGTTAATAAATTTGTCGTCATATTAGTAGGTACACTTAAGTAATTAGATCATTTTTAAATAACAACCAAAATATTAGACAAAAGTATCTTAGGTGTAGTCAAGTTCTATGAATGGCTAAGCAGTCAACGAGTGTGTCTCTTTAGACAGAGTCAACTGAGGGTTAAAATCCTATGTATATCAGATTTGGAGCGCAACTCATGTGATAGGCACCTGTGTGGTTGAGTCCCACCCTAGTAAGCAAAAAGAAGTTGTCGGTAATATGATTCTTTGGAGGATTAAAAGGCATTTTGCTACTTTCTGCACATTTGCTGTGTGTGAGTTTACCAAAAACTTCATCACAGATGTTAACCTTCAGATTGCCAAATAATATTAAACATGTTAAATACCTGCTGTTAGGTAATCCAATGTTGTTGTAAACACAACTAGTTTTGGCACCTGTATGGCACCATCATTCAGGCATCGTTCGTAGTACAAACATCATGTTACTATTTTAGGAGGTTACTAATTGTAAATATTTATAGGCATGCACTGTTGTGGATACGATACTCCCTGGTGTGGATTAACGTCGACACAAGTGAGTACTACGACTATCCGCAGTACTATCCTGAAAATTAGACCAATTCGTGTATACCAAGGCAAAAATGTGGTTCGGATTCCACTATAAACTGTAGGTCTCTTAGTTGCCATTATCTGTATGGGCTATTAATTAACAGCTGTGTCTAAGGAATATGTCAGCCTTAGTCACCAACAAGACTACAAGATCGCGCCACTCATACTGCACTCATCTCCATTCATACTTGGCTTAAAGTAACTACTTTGTATGGTCGCCATTTTATTGAAAAGTATATTATAAGTATAAGTATGTTCTTCATGTCCTTGAGCATCATGTTGTACAAGGACGGTTTTCTTTCTTCATATGACACTCTTCGGATGAAGAAAGAAAACAGTCCTTATACAGCCTGATGATGGTGCCATACAGGTGCCCAAACTAGTTGTGTTTATAACAACATTGGATTGCCTAGTAGCAGGTATTTGAACATTTTTAATTGCCATAAACTTGTTACAAAATAATTTTGAATTTTTGGGTTCATGAAATAAAAAATTGTCAAGTAGTGAAAACTCCAGATGCATGTTTCTTTTGGTTCTTCTTGTAGTGCCTAGATAAATTAATAACAAAAGACAAGGTCAATGGAATATGAAAGAGAATAAATATAAAGCGTCAAGGGGAAGTTTTAGTTTTGTTTCAAATTGTAATTCTTAAGCTTAATGTTAGACAATCTGCCTTGTAGATTGATGCTTAATCAGTTCTTTTTATGTTAAGTTGTTGAGTCTTTGGTAAATGCATATTTCTAGTTGTCTTCTATGCTTCATTCAAAACCAGAAGGATAGTTATTAATCAAATATGGAATTAAATATATATTGTTACATATTATCCTAAGGGGCTTTAAAATAATGAATAAGATGAATGAAGAATACTGTACAGCTATGAATAAATATATTATAGTTGTAAATAAACATTTACAAATTTACATTGATCTTGGATATTAAGAATTTTCCAAACAAATTTAAGTATTTTGTAGGGTCCATAAGTCTACAACTTGATCTAAAACTATTGTTTATGGTAAAAAGTTAAAAATGTTTAGTAAGCTTATTAAAATATTTTATAATTTCTATAACATTTAAGTAAACCTTATATTTATTTTGTAAGCTAATTTGTCAATCTATAAAGATCCATTTGTATGAATTCTGTATACTATATATAGGTGAAGAAATTTTTTTTAAAGAGGTTGGCAGCCTCTTTTAACGTCCACATAGACTAACCGCCCGTGTGCGTGGATCGTATTCAGCAAAGCAAGGAGTGAGCCAGTACAGTACAAAATAGTTTTGTTAAGAACCTAGCAGCACAGAATACTCTATTGTATTCTGTACTGGCAGAAAAGATTATTGAATTAAAATAATTGAATCAATAAAACATAACAAGAGGAGAACCAAAATGACCCTTATTAAGAAAGTATTGGAAGGGAGACCCATGAGGCACTAGACACCTATATGTATTGAAGGGAAGTCTGTGGTGACAGGAAGTCCTAGGAGACTAACAGTAGTAACTTGGGAGCAACCCGAAAACCAAAAAGAACGGAGTTGCTTCGGTTTGAATGTCGATATACCGGTTAGGTAAGATAATAACAATAGCACATTAATTAAATAATTTGCTATGCTAAAAATAAACAACTCAAACATTAAAATCCTTAATCTCTGTAAATTATGGCGTGCCATTGTCAAAAATTAATCAGCAACAAAAATTTACTTATTGAGAAAACAACCTAAATTGTATTTACTGAAGATTTGACAATGTTAAACAAATAAGAATATTAGTGACAGTATGGTTTTTGTCAGGGAATCGTCCACATGTTCATGTTGGTCTTACTTTGATGGATAGCATTAAATTGAGAACCAGACAATTAAAGAAAGATAATGGATAATTATGACCATGCTAACTGTCACAAAGTATGAAAATTGACTCTACTATTGATAGAAGGGGATTGAACCAACAACCTGCAGGCTTGAATGTGAGCGCTATTATCACTTGTCAAACCATAAAATTTACAGACTAACTGTGTTTTCTAATGTCTCGTTTCAATAAGTTTTATAAAAGAAACAAAAAATCAACGACTAACAATATAGCCTACATCGATGCTAACAATACAGTAGGCACGTCGACACATGTTTTTTACTGATCAGCTGGCGGAAGAGGACCGAGCATGCGCACAAACACAGCTGATTGGACGGCCGACCGCTTCAGTCGTTGCCAGACTTCCGTGCGGGAAAGACGTACGTTCATGTCGGTTCGTGTCAACTTCTCAATAAACTTTTAGTGGTTGTGTAAATGTTTCTTGTGGTGGATATTGAACCTGTTTTTTGACATTTCTTCCCTCTCTCTGTTTCCGGTCCCTTCTGATTTGTAAGTGATATATTTGTTTGTCATTGTAGGCTAATTTATTTATTTAGTGGACGAGAAAATTAGAGTTATTTGTTTTGAATACACTAGTAAATGATTTGTTTACTAGTAATAATTGTAACATTTTCCAGCTTGTTGATTTCATCAAAACAATTGTATCTTAATTTTGAATTGAGTTAAACATTCATATTATTTCAAAACATAATTTCGATTTCGTCATTAAAATGGAGTAAACACTAAGAAAGATTAACGGATCAATATCAAAAGAAGACACAACAGAAACACAATTATATTTCACAAACACTTATACCATTTTTAAATTCAATATGAAAACTTAGGTATATCCTATTAGATAATTTTTAGTACATTTGTATTCTCTTATCTGTGTTCCTATCACGCACAAATTGTATAATAAACCTTTATTAAACTTTACAGTAACCTCTCTTGGATTCATGGGTTGAAATAGATCGCATAAAATCCTGGATTTCTAAAAAGCCCTAGAACAGTTAATTTAAGAGAAACTTGACAGTTAAGTTTTGGTTGAATCAAGTATCAAAAACACTCCCGTTCCTAGTGTCAGCCTCGCTAAGACATCTTATCTGTTTTGAGTTGTAT